GCGCCGAAAGCGCCGGGGCTGGGAAAGGCAGAAGAGCTCAGAATCGAAACGATAAGTCGGATCGGCGACCGGAACGAATCGGATCGGCCGAGATCTGCAAACGGCTCGTGAAACACCGAATCGGCGGAACCCGGCAAGCTAAAATGCCTCCAAAGAGAAATCAGAGCCCACATCGGGATCCCAAATCAAATCGAATCGGCATCGGAAGCCATCGGGGTCGGATCGAATCGGATCGGAAGAATCGAAACGAGACCTGGAAGGTTTAGTGGGGGTTGAGTTCACCAAGAAAACGCTTGGGTGGGCAGGAGTTTTCGGGGATGGGAAAGGTTTTACAACGGGAAAACGCGGGCTGGGAAGGACTTCGGGGTTGACGAGGATTTCGCATGGAAAACGTTCGGACCGAACAAATACGTTCAGTGTTGGCAAGGATTTTACACGGAAGACGTCCAGGTTGGGACTTTGGGGTTGGGAGGGGTTTTACAAAGAAGACGCCTGGGTTGGGAGGGATGTTGGGGGTCGGGGCAGACTATGAACAGACAACGCTTGGATTGGGCAGGGTTTTGAGGTTAGGCGGGATGTTGCGCGGAACGATACTGCGCTGGAAAAAATGGAGTTGGGGTAGGGCTTCCACGGCACAGCGCTTGCGTTACTCTTGGGTAGGAAAACTATTATTGAAAGGGTGGGGCGGAGTTGACCAAGAAAACGCCTGGGTTGGGGAGGATTTTGAAATGGGGAACGGTTTCACACAGAGAACGCTCGGGTCGTGGAAGCTTTTGTGAGTGGGAACGATTTTGCACAGACAGCGCTCCGGTTAGGAAATGGTTAAAGGCTGGGAAGGATTTTGCGCGGGAGACGTTTGGACCGGAGCGATTTTTTCTTGGCTCGGGGAGGGTCTCGCAGAAAGGATAATGGGTTTGAGAAGGATTGGGGTTGGCAGGGATTTTACAAAGCCAGCGCGGGGGTTGGGCAGGATTTGGGGGTTGGGAATGATTTGGACAGAACGCGTCTCACCAGCCCTTGCCTTGGGAACATTCGGCAGCGGGTTTCGAACCTAGGGCCCCCACCCCCAACATTCAGCGCCGTCGATCAGAACCAACAAAACTCCCCTCCCCCCAATACCCCCCGCCCCCACCCCCCCCCCCCTCCCAGGGGGGGAGGTCCCCCCCCACCCCTCCCCTCCGGGCCGGGGAAAAAGTAGGATACTCTTACTCCCCCACTATGTTCTCTTCCGGCTCTCCGGGGGGGGAGGTTCGAACCCCCCCCTCCTCGGCGCCGGCGCTGGCGCCCGCGGTGGCGGCGGCAGGCAGCGCTAACGGCGGGGAACAAGCGACGATGACCAGGGAGAGCCCAGAGGCCGCAGCAGGAAATACAAATCGCCATATCGAGCCCTCGCTCCCCAAAACCCACCGGGGGCCGTTAGGAAATTCCAGGAGACGCCCAAAAGACGTCCAGGAACCCTCACAAATGCTCCTCAGACGCCCCAAAAACCCTTTGACGAGACCCCAAGAAGCGTCCATTAGAACTGTGACCCAACGCCAAGACACGGTGGCGGACGACACGAAGGCTACACCACCACTACCACCACCACCACCACCACAAACCACCACACAAACAACACCACCACCACCGCCAACCTATGAGGACTCTGGCCCACGTCAGCGTCATCGTCTTTGCCGCCACCGCCGCCGCCGCCGCCGTCGTGGTCTTCGTCGTCGTCGTCGTTCTCGTCGTCGTCGTCGTCAACGTCGTCATCATCGCCATCGTCGTCGTCATATCCCTTCAGGGTCGGCGGCATTGGCCGTAAGGCCTTCGCATGAACACACTACTTGCGCTGAAGCGCCCTCCAGAGATCAGAAGGGATCTCGTCGGGGCCCGCTGCTTTTCCAGATTTGAGCTTCTGTAAAGCCTTCAACAACTCATCCATCGTAAAGCCGACTGCGCGGATAGGTTCAATATCACCAAGCGGTGGGCGAGCTTCTGATTGCGAATCAGGGTATCACCTCTACCATTGCACTGATTTGACATAGTCGGCCATGATGTTTGCCCATTCGGCCGTATCGGACAACTTCCCATATTGTTTCTTAATGGCTGCATGTTTGACAGGCTTCGGCAAAAGTATCGCACAGCGCACCATCCGCATCCACTCAGATATTATTCCAGTCATGTCTTGCGACCTTGCTTGCTGGACTCGCGGGTCATCTTGTTGAGGAGCTTTTCGTTGGTGTAGTTCCTTGTTCGGCGACAGATGTTTCGGTCCGCGATCAAATCGATTGTCTGCTGAGTTGTCCACGGTGTTTCTGGGCTGTTCGGCATTGTCTGGTAAAATCGATGCCGCTTCCTGGAAAGCTTGAATCATATCTGCCGCGCCGTCCTCCAATGTGCAATTCGGGTAGTCTGCGCAAGTTTCGTTCGTGAAGACTCGCGCGAAAACCTTCTGAGTCGCATGTTCTTTCAACGACGTCTCATCAACGCGCTTCTTCTTCTTCTGGGTTACTCCACTTTGAACTGTCCCGAGGCTTTCGCAACTGTGAAACATGCGGAACGCTGTCCAACTATAGTGGCGGTGCTGTCTTGATGGCACAATATACGGTCGATCTGTCCAGAACCTCCTTCATCTATATCTGCATTCGGTGGTAATTACATCCAAATCGCGGTCAGAGACTTTTCGATGATCAGGTTGGTCGAAGACAGAGTTGGCCATCGCAAGGTTGCAACCAACACAAGCTTCAATAAGAAAATGCCGGTTCGAGTGCGAATCGTTGTTGTTTGTACACGTATAGTCTTGAACACGTGCGGGCCGACGATGTCTTCTTCGCCGGTCTTTACTCTGCCAAGTCTAGCATTGAAATCTCCAAGAATATGCGTTGTGGAGTGCCGGGTGGTGGGGCGAAACACGTCTTGGAATCCATGGAAAATTGTTGCCTGAACTCGAAGTCGATGCCGCTCTGGGGGGCGCATACAGACAGTAAAAACTAAGTACACCGCCACATACTTTCAACCGCAGCGTGCAGATTTGATCATCACACGCCTTGAAAGCGACCGCTGCGGAGCGGATGCGGGGCGATACAATAAAACCAACACCCGCATACGATATGTTGTCCAGGTCTGCGCTGCCAGACAAGAAAATTGAGAAACAATTTTGCGCATAGTATTCGGCAATGTTCAAGTGTGTCTCCTGGATACATAATACATCGATGCCTTGCTCGTCCGTGTTTTCCAACAACTCGTGCCGAGATAGTGGAGATGGTGCGCTCTATTTACTCGGCCCGCTCCTTCGTTATCCAAGACCATACTGGCGCCTCTACCGAGAGACGGCACAACGCTGGAATCGCACCGGGGTGTCCGCTTTCTCCATACTTATTCATAGCAATCCAGACTGTCATGTTGCCCGACACAATCGATTCGCCAGACCTGGACGAGGAACCCGGATACGTGGTCACCCAGGATGTTCGTTGTGTCGACGGCACACTGCTAGTGTCCAAGCACCATTCCAACGCCCAGAACATGTTGAACGATATCGTTGAGAAGGGGAGCTCAATTGGGGGAAAGCAGAACACATGCAAATCTCTACACATCAATCGGTTACGACATCGAGTGGTGGTGATATTAAGACTGTCCGGGACGCTGTATATTTTGGAGGCTTGCTTGCATGTGACGGGAGAGCGTCTGCGGAGCTATGCAGAAGATTGGGAGAAGCAATCAAGCTTTTCAAGCAACTTGGCGAGCTTTGGGCGCAAGCATCTCTTGGCTGGAGACGAAAACACAAGATCTACGGCAGCCTTTTTTTCCTGAGCAAGCTGCTATATTATTTGGATGATTTGTGGTTGTTGAAAGCAGACGGTTGCAGGCTCGATGCCTTCCATTGCCGATGTTTGCGACGCATTCTTGGAATTCCACGCTGTTTCGTATCACGCGTCAGCAACGCAAGCGTTCTCGCCCCGGCTGGGACGAACTCGCTGTCGCAAGTTTTGGCTGGTGGACAGATCAAACTGTACCAGCAAGTTGTTGCACATGGGCCCTCTGCTTTGGTGCATCGAACTGTCTGCCATGGCGATGGATCGCCGAGGAATTGGGCTCGCAGGCGCAGGTGCGGGCGACCGAGACAACCATGTGCGTTTTCAATTTACAGTTTGTCGCAACATGTTTGAACAGGTGAGCAGATGTTCCATCGTCGTCTTCATCAACGGCCGTCATCCTCAGGTTGTGGCGTTTGGCAACGCCTCCATGCTTCGTGCGGCGTTTGGTCACGCCTCTGTGCGTCGAGCGTTTCGAGTGGCGTTTGGTCACACCTCTCTTCCTGCCAGCGCGTCCACCTGGGCGCAAGGCTTCTGTCTGTCATCCTTCCTCATCTGATTCTTCCTCTGTCCCCTCACCTTACCCTCTCGTGACCTCCCCTTCGTACAAGGGAATTGGGTACAGCAGAACAGTACGCAGAGCAAAAGAGCATCTGAACGCCCGCAAACCCGAACCTCGAACACCAACGACAGGTCAAGCACGACCACCGAACAAGAGCGGTCATCCGAATGCGCTTTCACGCACCGAACGCAGTCCGTTGCCCACAATCGTGGGGCTCCTGCGCCCACACATCGTGCATAAGATGATGGGCCACAATTGTGCCCAAAGCGATGACTTGAATCCAGACTTCCGGAATCCATAGGGCCGACACGGCATTCCATATTTCTCGGTCAGCGCGGCAAGGGTGCGTGAGTACTTTGACCTCTTCCTCCTCCTCATCCCCCTTCTACAGGTGCTGTCCGCCACGGTGCCTCGAGCACGCGATGGAACGCGGCTCGTGCGAGTGCGAGTGTCAGAGGGGCTGCAGGGTCATGCGAAGCCTGAGCCCGCGGATTGCTGGAAATGCCACGCGCTCCAGGGCGCCCACGGGGTGTGCTTCACGAGCCTCCGCCCACAGCAGTGGAACATGGCTGCATGCGATTTTCGGCCCAGGCCAGGCGCTCAGGACCTTCCCCGCCCAAGACGACCCCCAAGACTCTCCCGGGCACAGCGCAGGCGAGAAGGAGAAATATGACCAGAAGGACGCGATGGAACTGTACCTTTTCCGTTCACGCCTCAGCGCCGTGGGGCGCACGGCACGTAGGCTGCGCGATCCCAAGTCGCCTTACCGATCTGTTGCACTGGCCTGCCACTGACACAAGTCGCTTAGTTCTTGTTGCACTAGCTTGTCACTGACACGAGTCACTCTCTCATTCTTGCACCGGCCTGACACTGCTCAGCAGAGCCTGGCCACGTCCTGAGCAAATTAGAAGCAGTCGCAGTCAGAAGCTGCGCATGGACCCCAACTTGTTCTGCAGCTGCACGCACACGCCCGTGAGCTCGACGTTGGCGTCGGGCACTGCGGCCCTCTGCTGCCCAGGCGCCGCGTGGGCGATCGCCAGCCGCTGCGCGCCACCGTCCCCGGCCCGGCGGGAGGTGGCTAGGTCGACGTCGGGGGCGAAGTGCGCCCTAGCAGAAGGGGCCGCCGACTTCCTCAGCGCGCTCCTCCTGGGCGCCCTGGCGGCCGCGGGCGGCGGGCTCGCCGACCTGCCGTTGCCCGGCTCCCACAGGTCTATCTCGGGCTCTTTGGCCGCGGGGACCACCGCCTCGCCGGCCTCGGGCGGGAGGGGAGCCTGGCTGGCCTGCTGGGGGGGGCGCCGGGCCAAAGCGGGCGAGCCCGGCGAAGGGCTGCCAAAGGCGTAGTGCACCACGCCAGCCGCCCTGCACGCGCCGCGCGCCGCGTGGCTGGGCCGCTGCTGCTGCGGCTGCCGCGGGCCCCCGCCGAGCCTGGGCTGGCGCAGCAGCAGATCCTGCAGCACGGAGGCGGGGGGGCTGCCGGGGAGTCCGCCGCCGCAGCCGGGCACGCGGGGCGAGGTCGAGGCCTGGCCCGGCGGCGGCAACGTTGCCGCCGAGCCACTGAGGCTGGGCGCAAACTGGCGGCCGCCGGCGGGGAGCGCCAGGGCCCTGCCGAGCGCGCTGCCATCGTGCTGCGCGTCTCGCCGCGGGAACGCTGGCGCGGGCGGCGACGGCGATCGCCAGCGGACCAAGGCCCCTCGCTCCGCGGCGGCGCTCTCCTCAGCCGCGTGCTGCGGCGACCGCGCGCGCCCGGCGCCGTCGGCCCTGCTGGGGCCACCCTCCTGCACCGCACGCGAAAGGGCGGCCGCGCACTCCCGCCACGCCTGCGGCGGGGAGCGGGGCTGCGCCGGGGCGGGCACCTCCCGCCAGCCCGCGGTCGGCGAGCGGGGCTGCGCCGCGGCGCGGGTGTTAGGGGGAGGGCTCCTCGCGAGCACGCGCACGGCGTGGCACGGCGAGGGCAAGGGGGGCGCCGTGCCCTGCCCAGGCTGCGCCCACGACGGTCGCGGGGGCGTCAGCCTCGCCAGCTGCTGCGCTGCCGTGCTCAACGGCGGTGCTTGCCACGGGAGCGTGTGGCTCGCTGCAGGAGGCGGCGCCGGCGGCCGCTGCTGGGGCGACTGCTGCCACGCCGGTGGGGAGCTGACCCGGGGCCGATGCCCGCCTGCGGCCGCTGGCGGCAGGTTGGCGGCGCCGCCGCCGCCACCCTGGGGGCAGCGGCGCGCCTCGCTTGTTGGCGTCCCCGTCGGCGTCCGCCCGCCCGCCGTGCCGTAGGTGGTCGTCGAGGCGGGCCCCCGGGGCGGGCTGGCCGCGCCGCCTTGGGGCGGCGGGTCGCCGGCGGGGTACGTCAGCGAGGAAGTGCCGGGCAGCGGCGAGGCACACGTCGACACGGCCGCGTCTTCGACCATCGTCGCCGCCGAGGCCACCGCGCTCGGGCCCTCTGCCTCTGCCTCGCGTTCCTGGCCCCCGCCCGCGGCGGCGGCGGACTCCTCGTCACGGGCCGGCCCCGAACCGTCGGCGGCCTCGCCCGGCGCGTCCTCGAAGATCGGCCAAGGCTCCGCGCGCCGGGGCTGGCCAGCGCCCGCGTGGACGGCATCGGGCGCCTCCTCCAAGGCCGCGCGGGGGGTGCCCTCCGACGGGGCGGCGGCGTTGGCGCCGGCGGGCGGGGCGTCCGCCGTTGCCGCGGCGGGCGGGGCGGCCGCTGGGGGCGCGGCGACAAACTGCGGAGGAGTCTCCGGCGGCGAACGCGGAGAAGCCTCGGCCAGCTGTCGGTGGGCATATGAACGGTGATCAAGAACGGATCGTGATGTCAGCTTGTGATTAACAAATCCGTGGGGGCGCGTGTTCAAAACAAACAATTTATCTGCTCGGGCGAATCGCAGGGTGGCGCTCGCCAGATTGAAAATCAACGGCGGCGGCGCCGGTGATTAGCGCCGACGCCCAGCCGCCAGCGAGAAGGCGACAGACAGCAAAGAATGGGGGAGGGGAGGGGGGCGGGAGGCAAAGGCGGCAGAAGCAAGGGCCGCGAGCCAGGGGCACACCTGTTCGAAATGAAGAAGAACTGGTGTCGGCGCTCGCCCCCGCATTTTCCGTGCTCTTGTCTGTCGAATCGATGCGCTTCTTTTGCCCTGGCCGCAGCCAGGGGTGCGCTAGCTGCCTCGCGGGCCCGCGAGCAAGGAGGGCTGGACAAAAGGGGGGCGTGGTCAAGCGGGGATTTGCCCAGCAGCTCACAAAGCTGATTTCCCGAGCGGCCCCTGGCGCCGAAAGCGGCCATGCATCGAGAACTGGCCCCTCGGCGGGGCGGCCGAAACCAGCTGCGCGCAGCAGGTTTCGCAACCCCCCCTTTCCTTCCCCAGCTTTTCGCCCGACCAGGGCAAGGCGGGCAATCCTCCTCCCCCCTCTGTCGTGGTCGTGGTAGTTGTCGACGACGACGACAATGACGACGACGACGACGAAAACGAGAACGAAGACAAGGACGAGGACGAGGACGAGGACGACGGACGACGGACGGCAGAGGGCGACGGACGGCGGCGACGACGACGACGCAGTGCGGATGCCCTATGGGGGTGGGAATGCGCAGGCCCGTCGCAGTCGACGACGACGACGAAGACGACGACGACGACGGCGACGTCGACGACGACGACGACGACGACGGCGACGACGGCGACGCACTGCGGATGCCCTAAAGGGGGGGACGGCTGCGCAGCCCCGGCTGTCGTCGACGACGGACGACGGACGACGGACGACGGACGACGGACGACGACGACGACGACGACGACGACGACGACGACGACGACGACAACACCGACGACCGACGACCGACGACGACGACGACGACTCTTTGCGTATGCCCAATGGGGGGGGTGCTGCGCAGGCCCGTTGCAATATTCGACGACGACGACGACGACAACAACGACGACGACGATGACGACGACGACGACGACGACGACGCCTGCTGAGAGTTGGAAAACATCTCCTCGGATGTACACGACCCCTTCTAACAACTTCTATACGAAAGGCAATGGTTTTGAGGCTGTCATGCAGGGGGGTGCACGATCCCCTTCTACGGCGCCCGCGACGACCCCCTGGCGCGCGTGATTAAAAAAATGTTTCGTGCCCCGCGGGGTCTATGCATCAGCCCCGGGGGGAGGGAAGGGAACTTCTGAGGGTGTCCTTTCTTACCTCTTTCGGCTTCTCGTTCCGCACGTCAGCCAATCTTAAGCCGCGATTGCTGCAACAGGCCCCAAGCAGCCTAACTCGTTTTGTTTTGTAGAGGACAGATAACAAGCCCCTGTTCAATTTCCTTTCGCGCATTCGTTAATCACAAGCTGGCATTACGCGAGATGACACAGCGACCTTTCGCGGCGGCATGCGCGGGCCGCCGCTGACGCGCGACCTTACGCGGGGAGCTCCCGCGCCAATGTCGGCGCAGTTGGACTCGTCTTTCTTCGTCGCCCAGCTGTCGGTGGGAATATTGGTCGGGAGGTCGGATCGGATCGACAGGCGCGTCGGACAGGGCCGCATCGGCACGGAGCCAGAATCGAGTCGGATCGGTCGCGCCAGGATGCACAACCCTGCCAAGAGCCGACGCCGTTGCAAGAGAAAGCCCTGGCCCCCTCTGTGGCACGCATCGAGCGGGATCGATCCGTGGGGGGGGGGCCCGAAACAAGGCAAACTCGCCCGCTGTGAGAAGCTTATCCTGGCAAAGCAACCTAACAGCGATGTGTATAAGCATATCTAGAAGCATTCCCCTTAAGATTCAAGTGAGGATCCAGTTGTAGAATTCTGCTGTTCTCGCAGTCGCAGTCGCATTCGCAATGACAGTCGCAGTGGCAACGGCCTTAGGATACAATATAATCCTAACGATTCCTATGGATTCCTAAAGCATTCTTAGGCATCCTTAGGAATCCATAGGAATCCTTCGGGAACCGTAGGAATCCTTAGGAATCCTGCTTCCTAGGGATTCCTAGGGATTCCTAAGGATTCCTAGGGAATCCTAAGAATTCCGAAGGATTCGCCTGCCTCGGCCTCAGCCTCAGCCTGCCTCAGCCTCAGCCTGCCTCAGCCTCAGCCTCAGCCTGTCTCAGCCTCACCCTGCCTCAGCATCAGCCTCAGCCTCAGCCTCAGCCTGCCTCGGCGTGCCTCGGCCTCAGCCTCAAGCTGCCTCGGCCTCAGCCTCAGCCTCAGCCTGCCTCAGCCTCAGCCTCAGCCTGCCTTGGCCTCAGCCTGCATCAGCCTCAGCCTCAGCCTGCCTCAGCCGCAGCTTGCCTCAGCCTCAGCCTCAGCCACAGCCTCAGCCTCAGCCTGCCTCGGCTTGCCTAAGCCTCAGCCTCAGCCTGTCTCGGCTCAGCCTCAGCCTCAGCCTGCCTCCGCCTCAGCGTCAGCCTCTAAGCCTCAGCCTGCATCAGCCTCAGCCTCAGCCTCAGCCTGCCTCAGCCTCAGCCTGCATCAGCCTCAGCCTCAGCCTGCCTCAGCCTCAGCCTGCCTCAGCCTCAGCCTGCCTCAGCTTCAGCCTCAGCCTCAGCCTGCCTCGGCTTGCCTCAGCCTCAGCCTCAGCCTGCCTCGGCCTCAGCCTCACCCTGCCTCTGCCTCAGCCTCAGCCTGCTTCAGCCTCAGCCTCAGTCTGCCGTCGGCCTCGGCCTCAGCCTCAGCCTGCCTCAGCATCAGCCTGCCTCAGCCTCGGCCTCAGCCTCAGCCTTAGCCTCAGCCTCAGCCTGCCTCAGTCTCAGCCTGCCTCAGCCTCCTGAGCCTGCCTCAGCCTCAGCCTCAGCCTGCCTCAGCCTGCCTCAGCCTCAGCCTGCCTCAGCCTGCCTCAGCCTCAGCCTCAGCCTCAGCCTGTCTCAGCCTCAGCCTGCCTCAGCATCAGCCTCAGCCTCAGCCTCAGCCTGCCTCGGCTTGCCTCGGCCTCAGCCTCAGCCTGCCTCGGCCTCAGCCTCAGCCTCAGCCTGCCTCGGCCTCAGCCTCGGCCTGCCTCAGCCTCAGCCTGCATCAGCCTCAGCCTCGGCCTGCCTCAGCCGCAGCTTGCCTCAGCCTCAGCCACAGCCTCAGCCTGCCTCAGCTTCAGCCTCAGCCTCAGCCTGCCTCGGCTTGCCTCAGCCTCAGCCTCAGCCTGCCTCGGCCTCAGCCTCAGCCTCACCCTGCCTCAGCCTCAGCGTCAGCCTCTCAGCCTCAGCCTGCATCAGCCTCAGCCTCAGCCTACCTCAGCCTCAGTCTCAGCCTGCCTCAGCCTCAGCCTGCCTCAGCCTCAACTTCAGCCTACCTCGGCCTCAGCCTGCGTCAGCCTCCGCCTCAGCCTGCCGCAGCCTCAGTCTGCCTCAGCCTCAGCCTCAGCCTGCCTCGGCGTGCCTCAGCCTCAGCCTCAGCCTGCCTTGGCCTCAGCCTGCCTCGGCCTCAGCCTGCCTCAACTCGGGCATTCAAACGATGGCACAGGACTGGTGTTCTGGGAACACGAAGAACACGAAGTGGCCTACAGTTGGCTCCGGGCATTCAAAATGTGTCCTGGGAATGGTGTTCTGGGAACACGAAGAACACGAAGTGGCCTACAGTTTGCTCTGGGCATTCAAGAATATCCCGGCAAAGCAACCTAACAGCGATGTGTAGGAGCATAGCTGGAAGCATTCCCCTTAAATTCAGATGAGAACCCATTTGTAGAATTATGCTGTTCTCGCAGTCGTAGTCGCATTCGCGATGACACTCGCAGTGGCAACGGCAGTCACAGCCACAGCCTCAGCCTCAGCCTGCCTCAGCCTCAGACTCAGCCTGCCTCAGCCTCAGCCTGCCTCAGCCTCAGCGTCACCCTGCTTCAGCCTCAGCATCAGTCTGCCTTCAGCCTCGGCCTCAGCCTCAGCCTGCCTCAGCCTCACCCTGCATCAGCCTCAGCCTCAGCCTCAGCCTGCCTCAGCATCAGCCTGCCTCAGCCTCAGCCTCAGCCTGCCTCTGCCTCAGCCTCAGCCTATTCAGCCTCAGCCTCAGTCTGCCTTCAGCCTCGGCCTCATCCTCAGCCTGCCTCAGCCTCAGCCTGCATCAGCCTCAGCCTCAGCCTGCCTCAGCCTCAGCCTGCATCAGCCTCAGCCTCAGCCTCAGCCTCAGCCTCAGCCTCAGCCTCAGCCTCAGCCTCAGCCTCAGCCTGCCTCAGCCTCAGCCTCAGCCTGCCTTCAGCCTCAGCCTCAGTCTGCCTTCAGCCTCGGCCTCAGCCTCAGCCTGCCTCAGCCTCAGCCTGCATCAGCCTCAGCCTCAGCCTCACCCTGCCTCAGCATCAGCCTGCCTCAGCCTCCTCAGCCTCAGCCTCAGCCTCAGCCTCAGCCTCAGCCTGCCTCAGCCTCAGCCTGCCTCAGCCTCAGCCAGCCTGCCTCAGCCTCAGCCTCAGCTGCTTCAGCCTCAGCCTCAGTCTGCCTTCACCTCGGCCTCAGCCTCAGCCTCAGCCTCAGCCTCAGCCTGCTTCAGCCTCAGCCTCAGCCTGCCTCAGCCTCAGCCTGCAGCCTCAGCTCATCAGCCTCAGCCTCAGCCTGCCTCAGCTCAGCCTGCCTCAGCCTCAGCCTCAGCCTCAGCCTGCCTCAGCCTTCAGCCTCAGCCTGCCTCAGCCTCAGCCTGCTCTCAGCCTCAGCCTCAGCATCAGCCTCAGCCTCAGCCTCAGCCTGCAGCCAGCCTCAGCCTCAGCCTGCCTCAGCCTCAGCCTCAGCCTCAGCCTCAGCCTCAGCCTGCCTCAGCCTGCCTCAGCCTCAGCCTCAGCCTGCCTCAGCCTCAGCCTGCTTCAGCCTCAGCCTCAGCCTTCAGCCTCGGCCTCAGCCTCAGCCTGCCTCAGCCTCAGCCTGCATCAGCCTCAGCCTCAGCCTGCCTCAGCCAGCCTGCCTCAGCCTCAGCCTCAGCCTGCCTCAGCCTCAGCCTGCAGCCTCAGCCTTCAGCCTCAGCCTCAGCCTCTGCCTTCAAGCCTCGCCTCAGCCTCAGCCTGCCTCAGCCTCAGCCTGCAGCCTCAGCGCCTCAGCATTCAAAATGTGGCCCGGGAATGGAGTTCTGGGAACTCGAAGAACACGAAGTGGCCTACAGTTGGCTCCGGGCATTCAAAATGTGGCCCGGGAATGGAGTTCTGGGAACTCGAAGACCACGAAGTGGCCTACAGTTGGCTCCGGGCATTCAAAATCATGCCCAGGAATGGAGTTCTGGGAACTCGAAGACCACGAAGTGGCCTACAGTTGGCTCCGGGCATTCAAAATCATGCCCAGGAATGGAGTTCTGGGAACTCGAAGACACGAAGTGGCCTACAGGCTCCGGGCATTCAAAATCATGCTCTGTTCTGGGAACATTACAATTCAAAATCATGCCCAGGAATGGAGTTCTGGGAACTCGAAGACCACGAAGTGGCCTACAGTTGGCTCCGGGCATTCAAAATCATGCCCAGGTATGGAGCTCTGGAAACTCGAAGAACACGAAGTGGCCTACAGTTGGCTCCGGGTATTCAAAATCATGCCCAGGAATGGAGTTCTGGGAACTCGAAGACCACGAAATGCGCTACTGTTGGAATGCCCAGTTTTCCCTGGCACCCGTCCGGCATCTGCCCAGACCCCCCTGGGGAGTCATGATGCTCTCTTTTGACCCTCTTCGCTGTTAGGTAATGTGGCCTGGGAATGGTGCTCTGGGAACACGAAGAACACGAAGTGGCCTACAGTTGGCTCCGGGCATTCAACATGTGGCCTGGGAATTGTGTTCTTGGAACACGAAGAACACGAAGTGGCCTACAGCTGGCTCCAGGCATTCAAAATGTGGCCTGGGAATGGTGCTCTGGGAACACGAAGAACACGAAGTGGCCTACAGTTGGCTCCGGGCATTCAAAATGTGGCCTGGGAATGGTGTTCTTGGAACACGAAGAACACGAAGTGGCCTACAGCTGGAACACGAAGAACACGAAGTGGCCTACAGTTGGCTCCGGGCATTCAAAATGTGGCCTGGGAATGGTGTTCTGGGAATGTATTCCTAAGGATTCCCAGGAATTTCTAAAGATTCCTAAAGATTCCTGGGGCTGACCCTTTTGTCCGGATCTGTTCGGGTCCCGCCCAGACCCCCCTGGGGCGTCAAGATGTTCTCTTTTGACCCCCACTAGAAGCCTACTATCAGTCTTCGCTGTTAGGTAATGAAGCGCCAGGAACTTAGAGAACAGGACCATGCAAGGATCAGGCCGCATCGGACCGAGGGAACGAATCGACTCGGATCGGATCGGGCTGGCCGACATCGACACCGGATCGACATCATGCTGGGCCCTGCCTCGGTGCCCTGCCGCATGCCGCACCGCCGGCAGAAGAGCGAGTCAGGCGTGAGGCTCGCCCCGCACCCCGCACAGGCCGGGGCTGGCGCGGCCCGGACGGCGGCGGCGGTGCCCACCACGCTCCATCGGCACGCCGCGGCTGACGTGGAGAAGTCCGAGCCGGCGGTGACGTGGCGCTGCAGGGCCTCGGCCGCGACCGCCAGCGGCACCACCGGGCCCGGCGCCGCGATCGAGACGGCGCTCCACCGGCCCGACCTCGGCGACGGGTCTCGCAGCCCGGCCCAGTGCCGCTCCTCCCACGAAGGCGCCGCGTGCCTGCTGGAGCAGGGAGGCTCCAGATCGGTGCCCGGGACCCTTCCGCGGCCCACACGGCCCAGTTCTCCGAGCTGCGTCCAGCCGGGGCGACGCGGACCCCCCGGAAGGCCTCCCGCAGAAGCCCGCCCTGCCTCGGACTTCGCCCTCCTCGGAGCCTCTGCGCCGCGAAGGGCCCCCCGGCGGCCGCGTGCACGGGCGCGGCGGCCGCGCGGTGCTGCTGCTGGGGGGAGCGGCGGGGCGGCGAGGGCACCGGCGAGGAGGCGCCGCTGAGCACGGGCGCGCCGGGGGCCTGCCGCGGAGCACCGCTGAGCACGGGCGCGCCGCGGGCGGGCGGCCTCGGCGCGCACGGCGCGCACGGCGCGGCGCGCGGCGGCATGGGCGGGGAGGCGGCCGCGTGGGCGGCCATCGGCCCCCGCGGGCGCGGGCGCGCGCGTCCGGCGGCCCCGCCCCGTGCCTGCGCACCCGAGCGGCGCGCGCGCGCGAGAGTCCGAGCCGCTGCGAGGCGGCGGGGCGGAACGCAGGAGTTCACCCGGCCCGCGGTGAGGCCGTGGGCCGCGCTGGCGGAGGTCAGCGAGATGATCTGCCCTCGTCCTCTCGCCCGAGGCCGAGCCACGAGTATGCGGCGGGCTCGTGGGACCAGGGAGGCGAAAGAGGCCACTCTGGCGTAGAAGGCGCGGGGAAGAGAGCAGGGATCGGGGCGGTTATGACATCCACTACGGCAAGGGAGTGCGATGAGGGTCTCACCGCGGCGGCTCGGAATCCCCCTCCCCCCCGCGGCTAGTGCTGTATGCGGGTCCGTTCCGTTGAGGGGGTCGACCGCGCCAACAATTGGCTGAGAGAATGCCAGCCACCTGCTGCAAAGCTCATCCAGGGGGAGCGCGGAACGTCCAGGGAACCGCTTCTCAAATCTGCCTGAAATCGATTGGTGCCGTCGATCTGAGAATGCGCTGTGGGTGAGCTCTGATATGACGCTGCCTGGAGGTATTGCTGCCCTTCCCCCACCAGGCGGGGCATGCGCCCACCTCCTCCCCGCATCTTCCGTCGCACCAGTGCAGGCGGAAACCGCCTCGCAGACAGGCCTCCGA